GGGGGGGGGGGGGGGGGGGGGGGGGGGGGGGGGGGGGGGGGGGGGGGGGGGGGGGGGGGGGGGGGGGGGGGGGTGCTGTGAGACAGGGCACTGAGACAGGGTACATTTGCTATTGAAGTGATAACAATGTGTGCCTAATCTGTTCGTGCATTACTTCCGAGGTCCTGTAGTGTCCTCTTCGTAACCGGCTGGTCTTGATTGAGCCAACTGGGCTTGTGCGGAACTTGTGTCGTTCGTGCCTATTTTGTTTGTCCCGCTGACACCGAAACCGCCGCAGACTCGATGGGAGAACTTGATTTGAACCAGGAGTGTTCGATCATTGGGGGGGAGATGGACGAGGAGGGTGAGGAGGAGGAAACCTTCGCAAGCAATGAGGGGTCGGAGGAGGTATGTGTGCTCGCGTGCGCCTTCCTTGCCTTTTCCCCCGCCACACCTTCTCTTCCGCGCGTGTGACGTCTGCTTTTGTCTCTCTCAACGAGAGTCTCCTGCAAGACAACTACAGTAGTGGCTACTTTTGCCGCGGTGTACTTTTTGCCTCTTCTTGTCTCTTTCCTTTCAACCGTTTTCCTTACAATCTCCTACAGTGTGTTGGATCGTGACATAGTCCCTGTTGGTCTACACGTAACTGCTACTTGACCACAAGCGTTTTGTACAGATTCGAATAAACATCGACGTGCATCGCTGCATCACGATATCCGGCACATTTTCACAGTGCTGCGCTGCATCACAAGAAGATAATCGTGGCATTCGTGCCTTACTTTCGCCTCGGGCTACCTCCTTTTCTTGACCTCCACCCCAACCCCCAAACCAACTTCCTACCCCAACCGCCACCCTTTCCGTAAAAAATACACTAATCCCTCTCCAGGAACGGGGTTTCGATTCCATCGTAGGCGCCCTTGAGGAAGCAGTCATGGACCCGACGTTTGCCAGTCTTCAACAAGTCTTCGTTGACAAGTGGTGTGGTGCGTACATCCAGCAACAACCCCTACGCTAGTGTCTGTACAACCGTAGAAGCAGCATTACCCGGCTTCCCTGTCGTCGGCGTTTTTAACAGGTGGCTTCGGGCAAATATCGCCTGAAGAAAATAATGGGTCTACAATTGTGACAGAAACACGACAGCAACTTGCCGCGTTTTCACAGTTTCGTTGCCACTGTGTTGTTGGGTGGCTAGAGTCTCTCGCCTTTTTCTCCCAAGACGTGGCGCTCTCGAGAGAACCTGATGCCTGCCAATCTTCGGGTTGTGTGCTGTGATAGATATACGTAGCTTCCTGGCGTATCCTTCAGATAGCGTTGGCTCTTCTTGCCTCTACCGGGTGTCTTTGGGTGGAGGGTTGAAATGGTAACCGATCGGCGATTTGACGTCTTCTGAGTGCAATAATGATGCAACCGGAGGAGCATCGACCCGCACCCCTACATCGTTGCCCTCCATACAGCTAGAGCTTCGTGCCGGTGAATGCAAAACACAACTGACACTCACCACTCAATGCCGGCGGTTTTCTTTCGACAGGGGAGTTCGAAGACGTGGAGGAGAATAAACTCATTTACACCGACCTCTTTCGGCAGTACACGCGGCTGGTCGGTGAGTCCCTGACAACGGTAGCTTCAGCGTGGGAAGAAGGGTGGTCCCGTGTAGATGTAGCGTTTCATCTTTCATCCGTCGCCCTTCTGCGCTTGAAAAACATTCCCTACCAGGCATCTCTAGGTGATTAATTTGGGGTTCCATATTAGCGCGTGACGTGTATGTTGTTGGGCGGTACCACAGCTATAGTACGCTGGTTGGCGAATGTGGTAGAGGCTTGGTAGACAAAACAAAAAGAGTGATTTATTATCCACACACAGACGCCTGGACTGTCTGCACCTGACGGTTACAGTAAAACAGAACGCCTTCACAATACCGTATCAAACACATACAGCAGAATAGAGTCGGTCTTGCACAGCAAACACCCCAACATGTCCTCTCAAGAACGTACGTCATTCTGATACATGAGACTCGAATCTTCTCTCGATGTCCTCTCAAAATAATGTCCTCTCGAAAACAACTCACGAGTACTTGCGATCTCAACTCAAAATTAAATAGTCATTACCTGCCATTTCAACAAGCAGCGA